TTGTGTATATAAACAAACTTCATGACTGCTGAAAATGAAAATTTAGTACTAAATATTACTTTGTTAAAAGAAAAATTAAATATTCATTCTACATTAATGTGTTTTTATTATAAAAAAAATATCAATATGCATATATTTTTATAAAAAGTTCCATAATAAACACTTAGATTACCATTAAGACATTCAGTAACTGGGGAAATTTATACTGTAATTTATACTGTAATCTGTCAGAAATTGATGAATAGCAAATTTTTTAGTTTATTTAATTAGCGTTTCTTCTTTCTATTGAAATATTTTCAATACTTTAAACACAAGTGTTTATAATGCTTATCCCGAAAGCAGTATTTATGTTGTATTTTCCTTATTTGTACAATAGATATTAATACTATAAAGTTTATGAATAACATACATTTCAAATAGCACTTTTAGTTTTGATGGACACATTTTGTTAAGTAATATATTTATAAGATGATTAAATATCAAAGATTTAATGAAACAGCCTTTAATACTATTCTCTATCATATGATTAAGAGTTATGAAATTTCATTATGAAAAGTTTGTATTATTATAATGCACTAATAAATTATTCATACTGTACTTTCATATTGATTATGAAAGATTTAAATGAATACTTGGAGATAATTTTTTTATTGTACTTTATATAAAAATAAAGTAAAAAAATTTACTCTCCAAGTATTCATATGAAATGCATTTTGACTTTGAAAGTCTAATAAATAATAATTGTGTTAATTCATTATCTCACTTATGTTGTTTGTATTTAATGTTACATATGTTTGCTGACATGACTGTTCTTGTCTTCTTTTTAATTTGCTTCCTTGTATCAATTTTTATATCAAATTTTTATCAATTAAATCATTAACTGATGGAATGACAATGTCTTTACAGAAATAATTTAATTAGAAAGTTACTATGTAGTTTCTTAAAATTATTACCTGGAAGAACATATGCTCAATATTCTCATCAAAAATGTTACTGAAACATGAACATGGCTTTCTTTACAAATCTATTTTACTATGAATTTGTGCAAGAAGAGAATAAATATTTGTTTAAAAGATTAAAAATATTATATTTGAAATATGAGATATAAGATATGTCAGTATACTTGATACATTTATTACTTTTCTGTTTACCAGAGATAAACTTTGTAATAATTTTTATTGTGTGTTCCAATGAAGCTTGCAAAACACCAGTTTCTGATGTTTTTGTTTCATGTCACTGTATCATTCTCATTTCTGTTTGATTTTGTATGAAATTCTATCTTGTCTAGTCTCTATTCAGTAACATTTTTGATGAGAATAATTTTTTTGTTAAAAGCAAATTTTATTTGCTGGATCCTGTTCAATAACATTGATCTGTATTTGTCTTTAGTGAGATTAGATTTTATACTTGTAGATACTTGCTACTGTTAGTATACTTGTTGTTTTTATTAGAATAATATACACCATTCAGTTGTATTAAGCATCAAAATATCATGAAATTATATTCTATAATTAATTTGTTTTTAGTATATAATTTCTTTTACTCTATAAAAGTAAATGTTTAATATTTTATATTATAATTTTTCTAATTTCCTATTATTTTGTTCATAAATATTAGGAGTTAAAAATAGAAAAGTATCATATTTCTAAATCAGTGTTCACAAATCTTTTAATTAAATCTTTCTTTGTAGTCAGTTTTGAAAATAAAGGTATGTAAAACATAGTTCTTACATAAAGCAATTTTCTAAGATAAAGGAAGTAAAGTTATCAATTTAATGATGCTGACATGTCAGGGAAGCTTGAAAAGTAATTTTTTAATATATTTTTAATGATTTATGGTGAAAAGCTTAATATAGAGAGCTGTACTGCTTGTCACAATCAACCTCTGTTTTGTCATAGGTGGGCAGCAGACGACATTTGCTCTGTGCACTCTAGCAGCCAAATGAAACATCGTATATCCATACATATTCTTAGTTAGATGCTTCAATAACTATTTATTACAATGATATAGATCTGAAATTTGCTAATGCTGTACTTTCAACAGGAAAAATTATTCTCAATTTGTTTTGACTCGCTTTCATATCATAAATGTTGACATATCATATCCAGATTCAAGATGTACTTTTTATAGAAAGTATTTGCTCTATCCATTTTAGTTTTTTCATTTTATTGGAATAAAATTTATTATAGTGAGGACCTTTAAGAAGGATCTTAGAAGTCAGTGCCATATCTAGTCTACTGTATATAGCAGATGTTTGAATCTTTCTATTGGATTAGCTACATTAGGATATATTTTAACTATTTTGATAACATTAATTTTGCTTTGAAGCAAGCGAATTTATGCAGGAATTTGACATTGAAATTATTTCCAAAAGAATTTAAACATTTTAAGTTTTATACTAGTTTTATAGCCTATTATTTTGAAATACAAGTTGACAGATAAGTTTTTAATATATTTATGCATGTAATATAAGTGTATTTATAGTATAAATATATAAATTTTAAAAATAAATAAATAATGTATGAATGTAATAAATGCATTCATAATCATATTGATTTCTAAGTATTTTCTAGCTGATAGATAATAGTACTGTTATATGGTATTTAATGTACTGTACAAGTATCATATTCTAATTTTAATGTATTCTGTCATGCCAACTTTTAGAGTATTAATTATCTTAATTTTCTCACAAGAGTTCTTTTCTGTTATATGATAGTTAATTGCATCATAGTTATACAATTAATTATTGATATTTACAAATGAAAGAGGATATTATATCACAAGCCTTATTGATAAATGGAGCAAATAATTAAGTTAAAATTGTTTAATTTTTATAATTTAAAAATAAATTTGCTGATAACATTTGTGTTAAAAATAAATGTTAATTTTATATGAATTTTTAATTAAAGGTAGTAAGATACATAACGTTTTGTAAATATAGTTCAATTATATATAATATATATCATGTAAAATATAAAACATAAGATAAATTGAGAAACTGTTTGTTCTTTGTATTTGCATATATTTTAAATATTTTGTAAAAAATTTATACTTTAATAATTTTTTATTATAAATTATTATTATAAAATGTAATATTTACAATCAAAAATGAATTTTTTACGTATTTATAAGTTTATAGTAAGTAAATCAATAGTTTTTAATAATTATTTTCAGTTATTGGAAGTTATTGATAAGTATGTGTAATTTAATCAACTGATTCTAATTAATACATTTAATATTAGAATAAACTCGGGTGAATTGAAAAGAATATTAATGTATAATTGAAACAATACAAGAAATGGAATTATTAATGGAATGTTTTGCTTCTTTTAAGACCAGACATTAATTATAAATTTTATTTATATATGCATGATGCATGTAAAGTATTAGCATTGAGAATAATTTAGAATTTTTGGTGACATTTTAATTTATTGTAGATAATTTATGTCATGTTAACAATAGCCTCTTATTGAATAGCTGCCAAATATATTATTGTCAGATGCATGTTTAGATTTGACTATGAGATACAGATATGATGTTTATGATTTACTGTTATAAAAAAAAAAAACAGAACTAAACAATTAAAGGTCATGTAAACTTGTTGTACTAGTTAAATATAATTTCCTATTCATAGTCTTGGTCTTATAATATTGTTAAACTGATATTGTGAACTAACATGGTCATTTAAACAAAAACCATGATCCTGGCAGAGAAGTATTTCAGATCTGTATCACATAACAACATATTGAACATTCATTTAATCATTTAAATGACTTAGGACACTTATCTTGTCTTTTAATGCTCTTGTTTTTAAAGTGGTTTGTAGATATCTGGTGATATTTGGAGTTACAGCATATGGTACAGACAAAAGCCATATAATAATGTACCATACACTTAAAATTATGTTGTACTAGAAGTTTACTGTGTCTTATTTATTTGAATAATGTAGATTAGATGGAAAAACTATCGTGAAAATAGTTTAAGGAATAATTTACAACATTTTAAATAATTTTAAAATATTTAAAATTTTAAATATTTTAAATAATACAGTAAAATGTATTATTCTGATTGAAGTTCTATTACTGATTTAATTGTATATCATCAGGATTAATCCATTACATTTTCATTAGTTTTTAATATATTTAAACTGACTTATTGGCTGTCATACAGTGCTGTTCAGATAGCTTCAGAAGTGATACTTTCCAAGAAAGGTTTGAAAAATCTGTTATAATGTGACAGTTAATCATATCCTGAACTGGAGTTTGGAGAATTGTAGAAATAATTCTCGAAACAAATGATGCTGTTCACTAAGGCATATCTTCTCTTAACAAATCTTATTGTCATTCTCAAGCATAAGCTTCTGACTACTGGAAGCAAAGATCATTCAGATGGTAAGCATATCCTGTAAATGGAAACGGAATAATCCAAGTAAATGGCAATTAACAAGAAACTCCAGGATCAATGCCAGCATTCTCTCATTGGCAGACCATTAGACTCAAAAGCAGCATGATAAGAAAATAGAACATTAATTTTAATCATATTATTCAATATATTATCAAAAGGTATGGATTTGAATTTCAGTCAGAACAAAAGATATTTTCTACTGATTTTTGTTTCATTTTTAAGTGAATGCATACTTTATATAATAAATTTTACAATTTGGTTTTCAACACTGGTTTATAAGAAAAAGTAAAATTCAAATTGTTTTAATTTATTAACAATATCAATTTCTTACTAGATGAGTTCAAGAACATAAAAGAAAATTTGTCAGTTTATCAAATAAGTTCTAAGGCTGATCTGCTGTTTCCTGAACAAATGCATCTCCATTTTATATACAGTATTTAGAATTTGACTTTTAAGTGAGAGAAATTTAACTAAAACTAATGTGTTGTACTGGATAAACATTTCTAGTAACTTATTTTTTTTTTCTTAAATGAATTTTATAAATTTCCATTAAAGATGTTTTAATAAGCAATTTTTAATGTTTCATTTTATTTCAGGATATAGATGTTTTAAGGCAGTTATGTTCCTGACGGGATTTATCTTTGGTTCTGTGGTTGTTTACCTAATATGTCTTGAAGAAGAACTGCTACCTACTGCCGGAAATGCAGGGGTCGCTGTTGGTGCTGGAGTATTGTTTGGTCTAATTACTATGTTAGTACAGTATGTAGGGCTGTTTATGACTGGATTTCATATGGGACTTTTTGCTGGTGTAGCAATTCTAATGATTATGCATATCTGGTACACTCCAACAACAGTATGGATTACAGTGATTGTTCTTTTAGGAAGTGGATTAGTAGGAGCAGTTATCACACTCTTTTGGCAAAAAGGTAATTTTTATAATATGTTTGATTTAATGAAACTATCAAAAAAGTTCTAAATTTAGAAACTTTAATATTAAAATGATAATCTGAATATGAATTAAAATAGAAATGAAATTTTATATACTATTTGCATTGATGTCATTTTTCTGTAAACTTATTTATGAACATTTGTCTAGGTGAGTAGTTCTCAACCAGTACCACAAATTTTCGAGAAAAATAATTTAAAAACATTAATTTTTTGTATATTTTTTTATATAATAAACTACATTTCTTTAATATTACATTTTACGATGTGACACTGACTTGTTGGTATTCACTAGCTCAAAAAGGTTGAGAATCACTGTTCAGTTATTATAACAGCTTTCTATTCTATGTAAGATGAAATGTAAATGACCAATTTTCAATAGTTTTGGAATACAGTATTAATTTGATGTAACATTGAAAGCAATAACCTTCTACACCATCTTTGGAGCAATTAATCATAATTCAACATATTTAGATTTGAAAGTGTGAAAATTATTTAAAATATTGGAAAATATGTTAACTAAGTTCATATTATACACTATCAAATCATTTGAGATGATAACTTGATTTAGATCCATTATATAATATTTCTTCAAATAATATTTGAGATTAATCTTAATCAAATTAAGAATTAAAATTTCTGCTGATATTCATAAATGTCAAAAAACTTTATTATTGAATTGTTTTTGGAGTTATTCTACCCCATCTATAGATCTGAATTTAAAAAATTAGAATCATAATAAAATTCCAAAGAACATAAAAATAACAAAGAATAAAGGAATGTTTTAGTAACTTAAGAATCTTTAAAGCTTAAACTTTCAAACTAGTTTCCATTATCAGAAGGAACAATAGCAAACTAGCTTGACTGCAAAATCAGCTGATGAAGGGCTTTTTGACTTTTTACAATATTTCAGAACTTTGTTGCATTCCTGAAAGTGTAAAAAGCATAAACTATGAAGACACTTTTTTTTTTATTTTGAAGTGTTTCTGTTAACTTTAATTATATACTTAAATTAAGAAAGGATTCCATTAAAACAGTGCTTTCAGTTTTTATAATTTTATAATTTGGAGTTTTATTCATTATTTGTTAAATAAAATCTTTTTTACAGAAAATTCTACACATATAGAACAATTACAAAAAAATTAAACAAAAAATATTGCTATATATTTTTATGCAATGACATTATCTTGTTTGTAAAATAGTAAACAGTTTGGTTTACAATTACAGAGAAACTCACTTTTAATTTAAATTCTCTACTATGTTCTAAACAAGGGAACAAGAATTGTAATATATCACCTTTATGCCAAAGACAATAGGACAACTCCAAACAAAGGAATACATTTTGTATAGATCACTGACAATGAGAAGATAATGCTTTTCAAAAATGTGCTGGCATAATGAGTTGGCTCTAAAACTAGAAATTTGTTTGATGTGAAGGCAGTTCTCTGTTATATTTTATTTGATTTTATTATGCCATATCTGGAAAAGTGTTCATTGACGATTGAATGAAGTATATTAAAATAAAATTACTCTTCAAGTAGTTAATTACATGTGAATTGCTTGTTAAAAAAATTCATTTAAGTTAATTGCTGAATAATTCATCATACTTAAATTATTGATTAATTAATTGAGTGAATGGAATTTGTTTGTTGGGTAAGTAACTGTTGAATGATTTATCTTGTAGATTTTGGTTATCGAGTATTGCTTAAAAAATAATTTTCAAGTAATAATTTTGTTATAATTAAAGTGTAGTCTAGTTCTGATTTGTCTATTCAATAATTTTCAAGATTTATTGTTGCACATTATTCATATTTTTGCAAAGAAATGGTCGTATAAATTCCTAAAATTTAATATTGTTTATATAAATTGTATGTTCTATAATTGTTTAAAATATATAGAGCAATAAATGAAATTATTCCAGATTTTTATGTATTTATAATTTGCATCTTTATTTAATTTATTTTTAAACATCAAATCTGGTGATGTCTTGAAGACAATATATGACACCTGCACTGCAACAATACCAATAACAAGACAGATAAAAACATGTGAAACAATAAATATTATTTAGAATAAATCATTTTTTACAGATAGCTTTAAATTTGGAGAAATCAAGGAATATTTTATCAAGTTAGTAGCAGTTTGATCTTGAGTTTATAAAACTATATTTGAGTGACCAACTCATTCACTCACTGTTATGAAATGTTTGAATAGAAGCAGACTTCTTATAAAACATTTTTTCTTGCCTTACTATAATTCTTCATTAAATTTATTATTATTTACAATTATTTAACCTATTTATATACAAAACTAATATTATTGAATATTTATATAAAGAATTATTATAAATTTCAACAAAGATATGTTGTGAAGCAATATGAAATGGTGGGAACAAATGTCAAAACAGGCCAGGGACAGAAACCTAGTATGTTATATAATGCTCTATTAAGTTTGTAAAAAATATTATGTTCATTAATCAGGTAAATCTTGATTAATGCATTTTCATTTTAATACTGTTCCTTAACTATGAACTATTTTTATACTGTATACCATATTTTTGGTATGATGCTATTTTGAAGGTTGCTGCAATTACTGCAATTTTTCTTAACATGCTTTTTTAGAGGAATGTATTTACCATATTAACTAAGCACTAATTATTTGTATGAAAATTTTGAAAAATTAATATAAATAAGAGAAAATTTCTTTTTGGATTATAGAAAAGTTATGCAAAATTTTCTGAAAACTCATATGACAAAAACTATTATTTTTTAATTTCTAAATATTTGATTAAATAGTTTATTAAAAGAGAACCCAAATGTTAGTTAGTAATGTTTTGAAACCATAGTAGAAATGTGATTATGTAAAATGCATTATCTGAAACTCTGAATTATTCAGAACAGTTTTCAAGAAAAAAAATGAGAGCATGTAGCATTGTATATACCACAAAATAATAATACATAGAGACCAAACACTACTAGTCATCTGTCAATTGTAGTGCTGCAAAACTAAGTCATACATATATGTAACATTACATTAGATTTTGAGTAAATTATTCAAATACATGAACTATAAATACTGCAGTATTTATAGTTCATGAAACTTTAAGTGCACAGTTCTTAATGTACCTGAGACTCAAAAACAAGTTTCTGGATTATCTGAAATTTCATTTATCTGGAAAACCCCCTGATTCTGCCAAGTTCAAATAAGTTCAAGCTTCCACCATATTTAGATATTAAGAACAACAAATTTAATTGTTTGAATATTACAGAAATGATGGTAATTAATTTTTTTGTATTTATAAATTATTTTTGACAATGTCAAGAAGAAAATGCTATATAGATAGCTATATTCAAGATAGTTTGTTCTCTCTATTCTTTCAAATTTAACTGTATAGACAATCTGTGGAGTATTATATTGTAGCAAGTTTCCTTTATCCTTGAAAAAAAATCAAATAACACAATTGAGTTAAATGTTGTCGTTTTGAATTGGTTTAAAATTTCTTTTCAAGCAATTTACAATTTTTTCTCCCAGCATTTCAAATATTAAAATATTTTCAAGGTAGTCATCAACAGCTATTTTCTTTGTTTGTGATTGGAGCACAAATCTAATACAACTGTTCATTTTTTAATGAAAAATGCATATATTCTTTTAATTTGCATTATCTAAAATATTAATAGAAATGACTGCAAAATACAAGTTTTAGAAACAGTTAAATGCTAAGTTTATTTTATTAACATAATTAATCTTAAAAACATAAAAACCTAGTTTCAAATTTGATAAATTATTTTTGTTTCAATTTAAACTATATATGTTATTGGATTTAATCAATATAATTTTTATTATTTTGATCAAAACTTAAATAAATATTTCTTTTTAACGATGGCGTGTAGTGACATTTAATGATAGGGAAGCTGTACCGGCCCTAGATAGAGTCATTGGAAGCATTATATGATATTTTGGTGTGTAGCATCAACAAGCTAAACCATGTGAGGTTGGTGCTCTGTAAAGCACATGTGTGAACGTGTATAATCTGGCTGATTTACACCATTTACACCATTAATTTACACCATTCAAATATTTTCACCATGGAAGCTGTCCCATATTTGACAATACAGTGCTTCTATTGGGAATATGCATATACAAATTTATGTTTGAATATACAATAGCATTCTTATAATTTTTTTCACATGTATAGAAATTTGTAATAAAATACACTTTGAGATTATAATACAATATTAATTTTAATTAATTCAAAGTACATTAAAATATGAAAATAATTGCACAATATGTATTTATATTTTAGAAATTACAAGGGAAATGGTGCTTCCACAGTTTCCACGGGCGGCATGCCACTGCTTTTTAACCACTTAAATAACTTGTATATTAGCATTTAAGATATAGATTTATGTATGGTACATGGCATATCAGCAATATTTTTTTTTTTTATAAAATGATTACAAATTATTTTAGTTATTATTCTTAGAAAAGTTTTAATTATTACTGAGATGTTAAATATATAAAAGCATAGAATGAAATACAAAGTATAGATTAAACTATTATGCTGCTGAATATAGTGAATGAAAGATTGAACACCTAACTGATATTGATGATATTTAACTCAATATTTTTTAAGCATATTCTACAGGAGCATGATTCATCTATGCTTCTAAATGAAATACAGTATAAATGGAATGAAAGAAAATAAATTAAAACATTTTTTATCAAATATGTTAATTAATTAATTTTTTTATTTTATTTATTGAAGTAAAAAAAAGACTAGACCAAACACATTTTAATAAATCAATGATTTTAATCATTTTATGTAATCTTAATTTTATTTTTAGTCAAATTGTTTTATATAGATATAAATTATTGGGTTTATGAGAGCATAATAATTATTGTTAGAAGTAATAAAAAAGTTCTATGCATTAGAATTTTAAGTATAGACTAAAAATTTGAAGGTTATAGCTCATATTTTATTTGGAGTACATTGACATGAACAGAAAACCAAATAAAAATAATAAGTGCTTTTTTTTATTTATTAAACAAATTTATAAATAATTACTTAAAATATTAATAAAAAAATATGTAATTATTTCTAAAATAATTAACAATAATTTATCAAGTAAGAATTTCAATACAATTCAAATAAATAGAGCCTAAATAAGGAAGAATTAATTTGATGAATGATTGAAAGCAAATCAAAGTTATTAATTTACTTTGTATACAATTTATATTCAAACAATTATTTTGCATGCTCTTTTTTCTATAATCAAAATGCTTAGTAATTTGTTTTCTGTTTCTTGTCAATATATCTTTATGCAAACTTATAATTTATCTTAAATTAATATTTTGCTTTACATAATAACTCAAGCAATTCAATTGACACCCTTCCTGATCAATTTATACATCTAAACCAAAAAAATAATTTTATATAGAGCAAGACAAATTATATGCAGTTTTATTATTCAAATTTTTATCTCATTGATTAAAAAATTGCTGAATGCTTTGCCTCTAAAAATTAGATCAAGGTCATTGATGACACTGATTATTACTGAATTTGATACTGTAGATTTAATAGAAAAGTATATGTTTAATTCTGAATTTTATTATATTTTTCTAAAACTTTTTCAATCAAACAAAAATGTAAAACATCCTGTATGAAGAATGCAAATGTTTTTGTAAAAATAAACTAAGGTTTGATTGTTTTGAATACCTTATATATTTTAGGATTGTAGTTAAGTAGGATTGTTGTAAGTTAAAATTTTTTAATTTATTACTAAGTAATAAATTAAACAGATACAAAATTAATTTATAGATTAAATATTGATTGTCATCATTGTCTTTGAGAAATGCTCATAAAGTAAAAATTTAATAGTAAATTTTATAAAGGTAAATTAATGGTCACTGACAATATTTTAATTATTAGTAATTTATAAAATTTATTATTCAAAATTTTTTTTGTGTTTAATCAGATAACGAATTTAGGAAAAAGTACATTTTATGAAAAACTATTAATTAATACTTTCCTCTCTTTGCTTATCAAAGCTGATAAAAGAATAAATTACAAATCATGCAACTTTGTTTATAGATTGATGGTATTTTTTGTGTGCTAGTTAAAATTTCTTGAATGTTGTTTTATCACTAAATCAATTGTAGAGAATAATGTTTTATGTGATAACTATTTTAGAAGATAGTTGTAATGTGCTACTTAACAGAAAGTGTATAAATTGTTTGCAGATATCTAAGAATATATAATAATATATATATGTGTGAGGTAAGTTGGGGAAGATGCCACTAAACTTATAACTTGTTCATCAGCTGATAGAGGTCAGTGAAACTTATTTGCAATTATTGCCATCTATACATGCAGTGTAAGACATAAGTTTTTTTTTTGGTTTATCATCAGACATCCGAGGATCTGCAAATTTATGTTTATTGTAGCTTGTGAATTGACATTTTATATTTCTTTTCCTGACAGTAAAGACTGTTGATCCTGTGTCCTGTATTTGATGTAAACCAATATTTTAACATATTATAGGGAACTACTTAACTTGGCTAACAAAGAGTGGGTGGGACTATGTTTCCAAAGAGCCAGTTTGTGGAGTAGACAGTGTTAGATCTTACCTAGTATAATTTTTTTCTAGAATCATCTTTTTCTGATGATTCGGGTAAGATACTAGTTTAAGGAATTCACTTTTTCTGCAATTAACAATGTTATAAATTTTAAAATATTGCTTGTTTGTTTATAGTTTCATGAAGACATTTATGTTGTTTTTGTGTTTCTTGAAGTTTATGAAAATGTAATAAATTTAATGCCAGAAGGTTTAATAAAGCACTATAAATACAAATACATCGCACTAACTTTGTATAGCTTTGCAGGTAATATTTAGAATGTAACATTAACATTTTTGACCATAGAAATGAGTTGAAAATGTTAGTGTTATGTTCTAAATATCTGCAAAGCTATACAAGGTTAGTGCAACGTATTTGTATTTATTATCACTTTGTTTGTTGGGTGGATTTGATTGAAAAACTGTAAAATATGCATACAGTAATGCCATGGAGTTGATAGCCATGGCATTAATTAATGTATGTCACGTAATACATTAAAAGTATTCTTTATTGTTGACTACTCCACATCCAACTGGTATCTTCCCCTGTACCACTTGCATCTTATCCATATGTCTAGGTAAGATGCCAGTGGGTGAAGTGGTTTGTAGAATCTACACGCTACAAACCACTTCAGTAATCACTTTTTAAGCACCTGGATATTCACATTTATGCTTTATTTTCTGTCCTTTGTTGTTTATTGAAGTTTCCAAAATACTCTCCTTGTTTTCAGATTTGTAGAGAGAGAGAGAGAACTCAATGGCATTTCAAATTCTATTGTAGTTTCTGACTTTTTTGCTTTTGCATGTCTTGATAGATGTTTTGCTATCAATAAAATCTTTTGTTTTCTCTTGTTTTGCTATTTGTATCTATTGATACTTTGGAATGTAAATGTTCAACAAACTAATTAATTATTGATCAATCAGCAATGAAAGTGTCAACATGTAATTCAAAGTTTGAAATTTATACAGTTTAAATGTTTAGTTTCAAGTAGAGATATACAGTGCATATAAAGAAACTTATAAATTTGATTAGTCAATAATTCAATAAGTTTTCAAATCACGGATGTGTCATATTTAAAAACGTTTTAAAATCTAAGTTTAAAATGTTAAGATTTGATTGGTCAGTTTGGGTTTAAGAATATGATTGTTACTTTACATGTGAATCAGTGCACAATATAAAATTCAAAATTTTTAAAATTAGGGGATGTCCATAAATTACATCCACATTTTTCTTGAAATTTTTACTTCTCCTCCCCCATTGTCCAAGTTTCAATAATCCCCCTCTTCTGGCATCCAACAAAACTCAACCTCCTCAAAATCTTTACCAGTTTATGAATAATAAAATGTATAAAGTGCATAAAATTTAATGAAATAAAATGGACTTGCATTGAAGTACAACCCCCCTTGTCTGATTTTCTCCAACCTGTCATAAACTCCTCCCTCCCTTCTAGTATGAATGTCATTTATGGATAGCCCCATAGAGATGTCTCTGATTTCATAGCTATTGTCCATTCTCTTGAAAATGCAAAATGAAGCACCCAAAAATTTGAAATAGTTTTTAGATTTTAAATTTCAGTTTAATGAAATGTGATCTCAAAACCTCTTTGACTTAGAAACAGAATGCATTTAGTCTATGGGAGTTAAGTTGGAACCAAAATAAAATTTAAGTTAAGTTCAACTTATTTAATAGTATGAATGCAGATAAAATACAACAGTTTCTTTTATTTTAAGGAAACATTATATTATTTGAGTTATGAATTTTATATCACAACAGTTAATATTACAGTTAATTCTTATTTTCAGGATGTACAATTCTAGGGACCAGTATCTATGGTGGTGCTATTATTGCATCAACAGCAGATTACTTCATTGAGAAGTTCATAATAGTTCATTGGGTGTGGGACAAAATAAGATTAGCTACTTCCTTAACTCCATGCTGGTTTTCATGGCTTATATTAGGAGTGTGGCCTTTTATGGTTATATTAGGCACTTTCACTCAATGGCGCATTACTGGTCAAGGTGTCCATCATCAAGAATGTAAGTATGTGCAAAATATATATTTAAATTTATTTTATAAAAATTAATAAAGTATATAAAAAATATACATCATCATATTTAATTCCAAACTTTATAGAGAATTTGCAATGAAAAATACAAGTACAATGGTACCTTGACTTATGAGTTTAATTTGTTTCATGTCAGAACTCGTAACTCAAATTACTCCTATTTCAAATCAATTTTTCCTATTGAAATGCCAATAATCCATTCCAGACTCCCCTAAACACCACAATTTTTTTGTTATATGTTTTAAAATAAGAAAAATGTACTTAAAAGTAATGAATATTGTATAAAAACAATAGAATGTAATGCAATAAACTGGTTTTGCATATGTCACAGCATTCGCTGCATAGATAAAGAAAGAAAACATGGAAAATTTGAGAAATGAGAGACAGTGGCGCGGCACACAACATGGAAGTGAACTAATGTCTATGTCACTCGATCATGTGTTTTTCTATAAGCTAGCCTGTCAGACATTGAAAGACATTGAAATGACAAAATAATGGCAGTTTTTCATCTTTTTCTTAATCTATTATTCACTGTGGCATTTGCTGCACCAATTAACTGTGGGGTATCTGAAGCTGATTTGTAACCCAAATTTCAGCTCTCAACTCAAAGCAAAAAAATTAGTCACGAGATGGTTCATATCTTAAAAAACTGTAAGTTGGGACACTCATAAGTCAAGATACCACTGTATATAATAATATTTGACATTCATTAAAACGGAAAATTTTGTTTAGATATTGAGACACAGTATCAATAATGCCACATATTTTTCTCAAGGACATGTGAATGAGAATGAGCAAATTCCTTTTTTATCTTATTCTACCTAAAACAGTTTTGAAAGTATCAACATCTTACATTACTCTAACATGAATTTTTTGTTTATTGACAACTCAGATAACATGGAACATTTCTAACACAAATCCTCATAGTCATTGAGACATGTATTCTAGTGTCATTAAACAAAGTATTCCTTTCAGAAAGAATTCTTTTAGTTGTCTTCAGAACTATTCTGAAATAGTACCTGTAAAAGGATGTTCACATCTTTTCAGCTAGATAGATCTTTTCACTTACTGTATTTCTAGAAAGAAGTGAAAATAATATGACTGTAAATATATTGTATTTACTGGTTGCTTGATAGAACAATAAAACATGATATAAAAATGGAAACAAATATTCAAGTACAGTAAAATTGTGATAATGAATTTTAACATTTTCAAGTGCATTATGATTTACATACAACTCTTAAGACATTAAAAAGCAGAGAATGGATTACCAATAACAACTCACTGAGTGATTTTATTCCTTCAGATAAGGGAGTGTGATGCAGCAATCCCAACAGTATGCTTAAGAGAGCACCCAGCTATATTTGATAAGGTTTCTCATAAAATTAATGTATACTGCAAAAAATTATGGTATTTACAAATGTTACTTTTCATACTTTACTTAAATTTTTTTGTATAAAATATGAGAGTTGAAGTGTTTCCAAGTTGTTTTTTATAAATAAAACAAACCTTTTTAAGTATTTTGTTTACCAGTTTTCATAAACAAGATGATAATTGACACTTCTGAAAAAACTCAAAATCCTTTCAAAATTAATTATAAAATAATAATGGAGGAAAGAATTATTCATAAAACCTTAGGATCTAAAATTTTCAATTTGTAGATTTTTGAAATTAAATACTATTCTTTCTAAAATTAAAGTTTTGTTTGTTATTTACAATTACTACCTTTTGTGTTTCTGTTGTCAATAACATTGGATGTTATTGATATTTCTTACTGTTTTTCCCTACAGCTTTGATGGTAGAATTAAATCAAGAAATATTCAGTGTTGAACAACATTGAAACTGTTGTTTTATGTTTACTCATAAGTGATGTAAAAAATGAATAGCCACTATAGTAACAATATTCATATGTCATTATAAATTAAAATTACTGTAAATCACTAGTTTTTTCAAATAATAACCACTACTATTTTAAATTGCATATTTTCTCTGCAGTTACTGGTACTATTTGAGTGCAAATATTATTTTCTTTACATATACCTGTTTGATGTCTGTTATTAATAAAGTATATAAGTATTTGAGTATTTATAAAAGGTTGATGTTTAAAGCAAACTACACTTGAAATGGCAACTGATATCTTAATAACAAGTGTTACTTTCTGTATACCAGTAATAAAAAATAAATAAATAAAATGCACCTACTGTGTACTATCTACTTATATATTTTATATAAGTCATTTTCTATTGTAGTTTGTTTTTTATTTATTTAATGAACAACATAACTAATCAATATCAAAATACAATATTTATTTTGCACCTAAGTTTTCAGAAATTGTTGAATAATAGACATGGCTACTGTTTGAGGATGGTCATAATTCCAAGCAAAAAAAAGTGCAATTACTATTTGAATAGAACTAGTATATGCTGATTTTTAATAATCAAAATTAGAAAGCTTCAGCATTTGAATTCCGATTAATCAGTAAATAATATCTATTGATTTCATTCTAGTGGGACCCTCCAGAAAGTCTCGGCAAGTTAACTTACAGAGGATAAGACAAGAAGAATCTCGTGCTGAACAGCGACAGAGGAAATATCGATATCTCTATCAAGTGCGGACAGCCCATGGAGATGTCATATCACAAGTAAGTGAAATATAACAGATTATAATTGAATTTATAACAAAATTATAATATATTGCAGGTATCAAAGTTATAACTTTCTGGAATTGTTTTAAAAACGAATGGAAATTGTATTTTAAATTAATAGAAAAAAGTAGACACAATTTTTTTAATAACACACTTTTTTCACAATTCATGAAGCATTCAAAGTTCATATAACCATTACTATAGTATACTCACAACAATTACTTATAATATTGATGTGGTTGCAAACATAATACAGTATTCATAACTTGCAGTATTCATGAGTAATTATACTTGATGCTTGATGACAACAAAATTATAGAATTGACTCTGTACCTGCAGAGAGAAATTTAATTGATGAACAAGATAAAGTTTTCCAAAGCTGATGGAATTAAAAATTATAAGTTCAACATTTAATTAAAATTATAATATATGTTAGTATTTAGTGTGATACATAATAATTTGAAAAAATATAATTGCAAGCTTTCGATGTTTAGTTTTTATCATTTATTATATATGATTTACTATGTTGTTTTAAAAACTTAATTATTTCTTTGTTTAAAGAAATACATTTTTAAAATAAAAAAGAATCCAAATAAAAGTATATGATCTGTTTTATGAAGATTTAAACTTTATATATATAAAAAGAAAATCTTTTGGTTTTTTCCCTCCTCTAAAAGATTAATCTAGCAATGCAAAGTTTATATATTATCTATGTTTAATTGAAAATTTTTCTTATTTTATTTTCTCCAGTTAACATTGCAATATTAATGTTGTATACTACGTTGTAGTTGATGTTATGTAAAACTAATGAGAAAACAAATAAAAAATAATAAGTTCCTTAATAATTTGTTTACAGTAAGTTTAATAATATAATCTAATGACTAAATAATTCTAGAATATCTTGTGACATTCTGCAGCTGCTAAAACAGTAGTGTATCTGGCATTCAATGTTTTTGTGAATAAGATTGTAAGTAGATCTTGAAACATTACAATCATATTGATGCTACTAATTTTTATTATAAAAAATAATGCAATATCAAATTTAATCAGAATATTGTTGACACTAAACAGAACCTTTCCTTGAACAATGATGCACAAAGGAATAATCTTACTATTATTTAATATTAATGATTAATTTTATACCTTATTTTTGCAGAATGACTGGCATGCTGGTCAATCCGGGGGAGACCATGAAATCAGATATTTCCATATGGTAAAAACCAGCATGCCAGCTTATCTTGGGGGGAATGCTGGCATGCCAGTTTAAGCAAAGCTATACATTTCTTTCTAGAGGTGCATTAAAAAACAAATGAGTTTTTATTCTAAAACTGTGAAACTGTCAGCATTACATCAAAACTATGATTATATGTTTAATTTCTTTGTTTTTTCTTCTTTCTAATGATGTAAAATACTCGTGGAATTTTGAGAGTGCTTTTTTTTAATGTGTATTTTATTGTTATTTGATTCAAAAATGCAAACATAAACATTAAGTTTAAGAAATTTCCCATAAGTTATCTCAGCTTGCACCTATTAACATTGGCTTCATGTGAAATTTGAGAGGATGGTATTATTTTTAAGGTTGGTATATAGTCAGTGTAGCCCACACTGCCTAACTACTGATACTACTACTACTACTACTACTATTTTTAATGTTAATAAGTCATTAATTGTTTTATTGTCTTGTGAACAAAAACTCTTTTCCTGATTTTAATGTTATTTTATTATACAGTCGACCCCCCCTATAAGATATAGATACGTTCCAATTTATTAGGAATCCGATTTCTTACAAGTCGTTCCAATCACAGCCCGACACGTGTCAAGTTTACGGACTACGGCTGATTGAAAGGTTTTCTTCCATAAAATTAATCGATTCTACACTAATCTGACTCAACATTTCCAAAATACGTATATTTTTTCGTAGTTTTATAGGAATCGTAATTATAGGGACCGTAATTATAGGGGGGTCGACTGTACTTGGAAGAAGGTTTTCTTTAATGTTTAATTAACAACTAGTTTTATTAGATTGATTAATTTTATATTTTA